GATCTTTTATTGTATTGTCATAGTCATGAAGATGTGAGGAGGAATTTAGACGTCTAACCAAATTCTTCAAGCGTCCGATACATAACCCGTAATTGTTACTAAGCCTTTGTTTAGAGTCTTTCCACGGCCAACATACCTGGTATCTCCCGTCGAGTTTAATGATAGTTTTGTTAAAGTGATCTATCGCTCGTTCATTATCATCTTCTGTAGGAGACTCATGGATACCGATCATTTCCAGTCTCCAGAATTTTTCTAATTCCGAATTCGGATTTGTATACTGAGCATATTATTGGTATAGAGTGACCTTTGGAATTACAAAGTTCGTCGATATAACCTTCTCCCGTTATCATAGGTCCCACTTTCGAATGGACCATAATATATCGAGAACGTAATTCCTTTTTATCTTGTGAATCGACAAACTTAAAGAAACAATCGGCACCAATTAGTATGTCAGGTTTGTCCCAGTGGCTTGTTAAATCTTCACATTGTTTTTTTACAGGTATGTCGACTACCTATATTTCTTGTGTTAAATATTCGACTACATGAGTGTTGATTGTGATAATTTCATTGTCCACCGTGCATATACTCAATTGCGCATTGGCAGTGGGACACTGTAAAGGTTCCTTTGTGCCGAATGGGGCTACTAACATATTTCGGTGATCTGATTCTGCTAATTGCAATTGCGAGGATAATTTCTTTGAAATGAAGGACAGCTGTGAGCCTATATCAAAGAGTGCTAAGGCTCTTCGTTGTTTTTGAGGATGTACAGGATTGAAAACTCTTATTTCTTTACATAAGAGTAAAATATAAGAGTAAAATGTCTTTACATAAGAGTAAAATGTCTTTCGCTTTGTTTGTTTGGGGCTCGCCTGTTGAGTGATACAGTAGTACCGGACTTTCCTTTTTGTCTGGATATATTGATTCCTGCTTCTTCGGAAGTGTCGTAATGTTAAGAGTTGGTGTGCTTCTTTTTTCACATAAGGCGCTGTTATGTGAAGCCTTGCAATAAAAACATCTTTTTTTTGCTTTGCATGTCTCTCCTTGATGACTATCTTTGAGGCAGATTGTACACTTCTTCAGTGTTTTGAGGCGCTTCATTCGGCCTTTGACCGTTGAATAGATATCACAATCACTATCCCAGTGAACACGTGAGCAAAATATGCACGGTCTCTTCCTGCTTGTTGGGCTTCTTGTTTCTCTATGGTTTGTTTGCATCGTTGATAGGGCTGAAGTTCTTT